TTTTCTGCACTGCATAGCTGCAAAAAACGCATAAAAAATAGCATCAGCTAAGCCAGTATGATGTTGCTGACAGTGCCCGAAAAGAGAGCTGTATAGATGACATAGAAAAATGAGCTAAAACCGTGTGAAACAAATGCTAAACAACTCCTAAATTAGGGCTGGCAAACTCCGCTGCCTAGACAGCACTCATTCAAGCACCATCTACACCAGAAATACCAAAACCATCAGGGTAATTGATGCGGAAATCGTTATATTAATGATGCACTGAGATGCTCTCATATACTGATTGCACAGTCTTTCAGGCACTTCATCCCCACGCTACATATTTTCACTAACCACCGCCTGTCAAATATACGCTCTCTCTTTAAAGGACGCCCGAATGATCGATCATTTACTATCTCAAGAGCATCACCCGCTAACGCATGCTGTCCACCGAGTGCCAGCGAAACAAACAACAAGTTCTTGCCAGGGATTTTTACTTTTTCACGTAGTCACAATGAACGCCATCTGCAGGGGAAAGGGCTGGCTGGCTTCCCACGCTCAGGAACTGCAGAAAGTGAAAACGCTGCTGGCTACTTCCGCAACAAGGCGCAAGCAGCAGGATAACAATTAATATTTCATGCACAATTTTAAAAGTGTATTCCTTATATGCACCTTTTGAAAATCACGCCCGATCCAAACAAAACTTCCGCGAGCAACTCCCTTCGAATCCATTCCATCGCTCAAAATACCATATTTTTGCTACACCGCTCAGCAAAGCTTATTATAGAAATAGCAAGTACTGAATGTATGAACTTACGCAGTTAGCAGAAAAACTTTTTCACGTATTTGATGAAGCGCTTCATTGGCGGACGGCTTACGCTCAAACTCGACGATTCCCTCGCCCGTTGGTTTGCCCTTCTCATCGACGATGTGTACTGCTCGCTCAACTTCGCCAAACGCCGAGAACGCATGATACAACATCTCGTTTGAGACGGTCGCCGACAGTTCCTTGACGCGCAACGCAGCCCCATGTACCGCAAAGCGTACTCGCACCGGACGACCATGAATTAAAGTACCATCAATTGCCTCCTTTGCGCTTTCTGCGTGTGCACGAGTGTCCTAGAAATGAAAATTTACGGTCAGGCAATAAAGCAACCACTCTGCAGCTCCGCTCTTCTTCAACACCAGCGCGTTTTTCTGCCTGGCCTGTCATTTTGGCAAAACTTCATCTTTTGCTTTTCTAATCTCCAAAAACGTAACCGGCCTGCTGCTGACAAGGAAGTCCTTGAGCCTCGCCAGCGAGTGGTTGCTGCTGGTGTCTCTTACCATCCGTACTGCTTACCAGAATGAACATAAAAATTACTTTAAAACTACGAACCAAAAAAAAATAACTAGAAAAGCTCTTCTTCAACCCTGTGCCAACTTTAAA